CAACTATACGCATTCTTTTTATATTCAAAATTGTATGAACTACGGTTCGTATCACGGCCCGGTTAAAGTTAACCGCTATCGGTGCCTAACCTATCGAACTGTCAAGATTCTCTACAAGTACGTTCAAGAATCTTCAATACTTAGTTTAAGAGATAAGAGCTGGACAAGCTCGCTACAGGGTATTTAGTGAACCAGGATTCTTGGACCTCTAACCATTTCAATCTCATTTTTCAATTTACCTTCTTCGTAGTACGTCTACTCCTCAAGTCTCGCCTCGGGTTTCCTGCTGAGCCCTCGCCTTCGCTTCACGACTCTTCGAGCTTCCCGTTGGGATCTTAGCTGTAGATGTTTCTTCCTCTGCTCTGCTCCGTGATGTCTCGCTAGTCGAACGTAATAGGTGGTGTGATCAATTACTTGTAATATATACTATTCGAGACATGGTGGAGTTGGCAAAAGAGTACCGCTCGCCAAATGATGACGAATGCGACGATTTTTTTCAATATGCAAAAAATTGTCGCATTCGTCATCATTTTGCAACAATCAATCCCAGACATATATGGAAAGCTGAGGACTTTTAAAAATTTATGGTCAAGAAACACCAAGTTTGAAGAAGGCCACACACTTTAAAGGAAGAAGTAATATCATATTCGCAGTGGGCAAGGTCGTTTCAAGTTGGTGGTAGGGTGAGTCATTTCCATTATGTTCTGATCATGCGAGACGCGAATTGAGGTAGAATTAGTATGATAGAGACAATATTCGTGGTGGATCCGCAAATGAAAATTAAACTTTATTCAAAAGCTAGCCATTTGACGTGCTTCAATTGTAGGTCGCAATACCCGTGATCTTGTGGTGTGGATGCACAGCAAATAGCACTAGCTGGATAGATCATGCTAAGGGCTGAGCATGCTGACGTGCAATCTAAGGTTTTTTGACAAATTTAAGAGTAAAATGACATATAGGCTAAGGTGTTGTTGGTGAGATGACTTGTGGAGAATCCACAAGTTCTAGATATTTAATTTTAGTTAAAAAGAAATTGTCTAAGAATTTATTAATAGATACTAAAATTATAAAAAAATAAAACTATGCTTATAACTTAATTGGTAGAGTATTAGATTGCGGATCTATAAAATGAAAGCTCGAATTTTTCTAAAGGGATACTTACGAGATTGTGTTGAGGTCCCACATAGCAGGAGCAAGTGCACTGAGGTCGTAAGATCTTTTTTGTAAGGGGCGCGCCATTTTATACTGTATGTAAATCCAACGCAATCGTCAGTGATTGGTTTCGGCCTTGAAGCCACGCTCAGGTTATCAATGCACCAGGATGAATCATCATGAATAGTACTGGCATAGATGAGAGAGACTAGACTCCCAAAAAGAAAATGTCTGTTGCACACGAGGGTTGCTATCCTCATGCTATGCATTCACAAGATTATATTATTGTGGATACCAGTCTAGATGTAAATTCAAGTCTCTTTAACCATTTCGCCCCTTGAAAGGCTTTCGGTGTCGCCGCTGGATGGAAATCTGCTGATCCTTTATTGTAACGCGGATTTTTTGTGCAAGATTTATGGAACCTCCGTTTCACTTTCATCCTCTTCGTGTGTCGTTTGACGTAGATTCCTAGAGTCAGGGCTTCCTTTGTGAGGGGTGCACGACAACCGCATTGCATGCCGCACCCGAACTCGAGTAATCGGCACGATAATATCAGTTACATCTGATCAAAGGTTTATGCTCGAAGCGAGGATAGAATTTTCTTGCGCAAATATGTATGCATACATGCAGGCTTTGTAGTTGTAGATGATAAATTACATATATTCACTTCCGCTATAACCTCCTTCTGTAATTTTAATATCACGATCTGCGGCGTTTATGTTCCGAGCATTACGAGCCTAACAGCCACGGCAACAACAAATAATCTTAGAAATTTCTGGTTTCCCTCGGTATGCTCCTTCATCTTCTTCTCTGTTTTGAAAGCACCATGTACATCCATGCTAGCGTCATGAGCTTCTACATAAGATCTTGCGAATTTTAAGTGGAGAATATGCAACTGATAACCTGTCGAAGTTCTAGCAACATCACGGTCTCATCAAAAGGAATCGAGGATTAAAATAGAAGCATATCATTCCTTTTCGCTATTTGCAACCCCTGACAAAGGAGCTTTTTTCATTTATCTGCTTACTGCTGTTATTAACCTTGCGACAGTGTGCTCAAAATCAGATGCGGTGCAATTATGCGTCGGTACTTAATTAAAAGAATGGATCTGTGTTGGTTAGATGATGCTTAAACTCTCAGCTGATCTAGATTTTGGGGCCAAGTCGATCCAGTACGGATCGCTTTTTGGCTGCAGGCTCACCGGATCCCTTGCGATCATCACTTTTCTTACGATTGGGCCTTTTGCGGTCATTACCACCGCTTTTGCGTTCGCCATCAACCTCGATCCGCCGCTTGTCGTCATCCTTACCGCCACCACCACGACGACGATTGCGGCCTCCGCGAGAGCCACGAGACGTAGTTACGACGCGACCATTCGTACCATTACTTGATCCTTTCTCACTACGGCGCTCACGCTCCTTCTCAATGCTGCGACGGCGTTTCCTGTCACTGCCTGTTCCTATCTTATTGTCTTCAACCTCACGAGCGCGTTTTCCTTCGCGGTCTTTGCGGTCACGAGGGCGATCACGTTCGCGCTCGCGAGTTTTCTCCTGAGCTTTATCTTCAGTCTCATCTTGCGCTTTCTCGTGTGGCTTCTCTCCAGCTTTCTCGTTCGTCTTCTCTTGAACCCTCTCGCGAATATTGTCTTGAGTATCGTCACGACTAAATTCTTTGCGGCTACTTTCTCTAGACTTCTCGCAAGACTTCACGTCAGCCCTCTCGCGAGTCTTTTCTGGAGCCCTCTCGCGAGTCTTTTCTGGAGCCCTCTCGCGAGTTTTCTCGGGCAACTTTGCACGATTTTTCTCTGAACCCTTTTCGGATATCTTTTCCTTACTTGTTGTATCACGTTTCTCGTGAGTCTTTTCATTATCCATTGCAGAACTTTTTCGTGGGAAACCTGTCTTTGAAGCACTCTTACGATCACGAGATCGGTCTTTGACCCGCGCACGATCCTGGTCACGATTGTGCTTGCGATCACGGCTTCGACCGCGATTTCCGCGATCACGGTCACTACGTTCACGAACGTGACCTACTTGACCACGATCACCACGCTCTCGAACGCGATTTCCTTGATTACGATCATTTAGTTCACGATCGCGATCACGATCTCTGCCAATATTGCGATCTTTTGCACGTGAAGTATTTGCTGCATCAGCACGCTTGCGTAATGAATCTCGCGATGAAACACGCTGCAAAACGGATCGGGAATGTGAGCGGCTACGGCGACTGCGTGATGAAGATTCTGCTTTTTTATTGGATGATGAACCACGATTGCGTCTGTCGCGATCGCGGCCCTGGTCACTCTCGCGGTCACGAGCACGTGCACGGCTAGAGCGACTACTAGATCTCTCATATTTACGAGAAGAGGAGTGACTACCATTGCGCTTGTTAAGTTTTTTTCCACGATCACCATCACCACTATGAGAGCTTTTATCAACCTCCTTAGTAACTTTGTCTGCCATACTTTTCTCGCTTTTTCTAAGATTCGATTTCTGTGGAGTCGAAGGAGTCTCACTTTCACTGGGCACTTCTACGTCCAGCGGTTCTGCCAAAAAGTCAAGGTCGATTGCAGGTGCAGCAACTTGATCCAGCTTGACATCTTTAACTGTACTTTCGTTATTTTTTTCTTCTTTGGGCACTTTTTCTTTCTCATTAGAGATTTTTGGTGACTCTTTGCTTTCCTTGCTTGCCTTATAATCATCACGGCTGCTGCTACTCTTTTTGTTATCACAATGATGGCGGCCGCGACTTGTACTTCGAGGACGACGTGATGACGAAGCTCTTGACGGATGAGTACGGTCCCGATTCAGTCTGTCTGGTCTAATGCGAGATTTGCTCTGACTGTGCGATCTTCTCTGCATTGGCCTGTTGCTTCGGCTACAACTTGGACTACGACTGCGCTTGTTGCGAGAGCGCTGAGAGCGCTGAGAGCGCGATCGCTCTCGATCACGACTGCTCGATTTGCGAGCGTCTTTTTCGTCACAACCACGACGGTCATGTCCGCTCTTTGCCTCGCGACCAGATGAGCGATCCCGCGTGCGGGAACGATCTCTACCGCGCGAAGTAGAGCGATCACGTCGGCGGTCATCATCGCGTCCGCGAGATATTCCTCGTTCTACCCCGTCAAACCAGCGATCCCCGCGCCCAACAAAAGGCGGCATTGGACCATCGAACCACGGTGGAGGAGGACCAAAGTAGTCAGGATGTCCAGGCGGGGGGCCAAAATAGTCTGGTCCAGGACCGCCAAAAAATCCTGGAGGAGGCATTCCTCGACCGCCGCGGCCTCGGCCACCACGGCCGTGGGGACCAGGAAATGGACCGTCAAACCATGGCCCAGGAGGACCATCAAACCATGGACCTCGAGGACGGCCATCAAACCAAGGGCCGGGAGGGCCGTATCCCATCAGAGGGCCACGAGGACCGTCAAGCCCCCAATGTCCAGGTGGACCTTGATCGATGCCAGGAGGAGGAGGTCCTTTGTCAGGAGATGTTTTCTCGGGCTTGTCAACAGTCTGATTGACGCAAGTAGAAGAGGCGTCACTCATCTTTCGCATTGAGCCGGACGCTTCGCCGTCCTGAAGTGCATCCTCTTTGTCTTGTGGCAGTGGAGGAAGCTGTTGCATTTTAGTGGGAGAAGCCGCAGGCGTGCGCGAATTTTGAGGTGTGGTAGCTTCCTCGTTATCATCGCCATCGCCAAAAATGTCCCCACCAAATTCGTCTTCTTCGTCATCTCCACCGTCACCTTTTTTGCTTTTTTTTATTTCAAGCGTCGCATCAGCGCTATCGCCTGAGCGTCGAGTAGCAGAGCTTGCCGCTACTTCTACTGCTTTCTGTTTAGCAATCGCCTTCTCTTCTGCTTCTTTAACCAACTGTTCACGTTCTTGGTGCTCTGTCCGTGCTCGTCGCAGAAATTCATTAACGGATGTTCGAAGCACTTTGTTTGGCAACAGCTTCTCTGGTGACATGTTGCTCACATTACAAAGCGGACAGGTCAGTTTATGCTCAATTAGCGCACTACGGAGGCATTCATCGCATGCTGACTGCATAAGACATATTAGGAAACATTTCACAGTGTCGTGTCAAACAAGCACGCTAAATTAAAAGAAACAGTCCCGCAAGTGGCTTGAATCATTTGCTTACCTCTTGGCAGCATGGAATTAGCACAGCGTCGCTCATAAGCCGTCTGCAAAGGGGACATGCCAAGTGCTCGGGTGGATTCGAGATGAATTGATCCAAAGTGGCCGAGCCGCCCGATTGGGCCATTAATTTAGAGAAGTTTTTATTCTGCGGTTCTATCACAGCTAAACCGCCCCATGGCGCGTTTACTACCGTTTTGCCGACCCCTATAGGAATTTCGCTTGGATCACTCACGGCTTTCATGAAAGATTTGGGAATTCCTGTCTTCTTCTTCACACGGTGCTGATCGAATTCTGGGTCCCCGTTCGTAGGGCAATTTTGGATATAGTGGCCGGGCGTTCCGCATCGATAACACACATAGTTAGTCGGTGGATTCCCCACAATGGTCGAGCAGGGGAGACCGCCGGGGCCCGCACCACGGCCTCCTCGTCCGCTAAAGTCTCCACCACGGCCACCGCGGCCCAATCCCCGCCCGCCAGCTGCAATTCCTCGTCCACCTGCTTCTCCTCCCGGACCATTACCCGAGTAATAGTTCATCACGTTATTGGCATTGCTGCCATTAGACGCCGTCCAAGTCTTGTTGCCGAGCCTTGATCCACGCATATCCTCCGCTTGCTCGTGGATAGACTGCAAAGCCGCCAATTCATCTTCCATTGTTTGCGCTCCTTCAGCCGGGTCACTAGGTTGTAACGATAGCGTGGTCATTCTGTTAAATAAGAATATAATTGCATCACAACAGCAACAGAGCGCCGTGCGTCAGCACTTTTACTCATTCAGATACAACGAAATAAACTATATTCACGTGGCGACGTACTGCTGTGCAGGAGTATCTTCAAGCGTCATAATGGGGGAGGGACCCGACATCGAGACGACAGGAGGAGACGCGTGAATGGCTGCTGCTGCAGCGGCAGCAGCAGCTATAGCTGCCTCCTGTTTCATCCTGGCTAAAAGGCCACTGCCTGGCTGCTGGCTGGGAATGCGCTTGACCGTCACACTAGTATTTCGAGGCAACTGCGTGTTTTCATCATCATATACCTTGCCGTTTTGCGCGTCTGTGATTACAAGATCAAAGTCCAATCCCTTGGCCAGCTTTTTCTTGTCGACTATTGCTTTCTTTAGGTCCAGTACGCGGATCACAGCACCTGGGAACGTCACCGTGTCGAACTCCTTGGCAGACTTAAATTTAAAATGAATCGACATAATTTCAAACTTTGGTGGATAAGATCAATTATTTAGTGATGTAGATCTGACAAAGCTACGTGTAGAGCTCAAGGATGGAGCACGACGTGACGTGCTAGATGTGCACGGAAAGATTGCTCTTGAGAGCGGACGTGTCGCCTTTGGAGCTGGTTGGTCAATGGGGAGAGGAACTGCGGCCAGAAATTGTGGCAGTAGATAACCTATACAGAACACTATCGCTTTTGATGTACATTTTGTTAGTACAGTATGAAGCTTAAACTGCTAATATTTTGTAGAACTTTAAATTCGGCAGTAAGTGATTGAATTTTTGTATGCCAATGCGCTAACCAAATCGCTCAATAAATGCTGTAAGGAAGAGAATTTACGATGACATTAAGCGAAAGAAATTAGATGCTGATTACCTGCTGGATACACTTTTCTCCACCCACGTAGTTTTGACTGACCTTCGGTCACACATAATTTACCGGTAAGTAGAGAGACATTAATCACCAGTCACCACCTACAGCTACACTCCTGAAAATTCAGCCTCAAAGCAATAAAGACACAACGCATTGAATCGTCCCGACTGCGCAACTGACCTTATAAACATAGCATGATCAACAATAATGACGTTTATTGCTAAGAAGCATATAGTTGCACTTTGTTGTGACGACATCAGCTTATACAACCATTGATGTAAATTGCCCGTTCGTGAACACGCACTTACTAAGAAAGACTTATCTCACTTAACACGCTTCAATGCGTGTTGCTCATTTCCAGCGAGCGGTTAACTTACTTGAAAGAGGAGGTAAGGTGGAGTGACATGTATTATGTCCAATAATCCTGATACCTCCCTAAACAGAGAAGAGCCTCCAGATTCTGATATAACAGAATTCAGAGATATGCAACTTTTTCGAACGTATACTTAGTGCTGACCGCACGCAAGCTATGGCTCACACGACATGTGTAATGGGTCTGGCCCGTTACGCGACCACCCATTCAAAAGTGGGTTTACCCATATTCTCTTTAATTTCTCTCCGACTCTAAGACTCGATTATTTGTGATCCCAGACGAAATAAAACGCATCGAAGGCGACTTGCCGACGACGAGCGCAGAGGAAAAACGGACCTTAATCCGAAGATGCAAAGGCGCCTTCGCCACCATCGAACTTGGATAATGCTTTAATTCTACGTTGAACAGCGTTTCGCACATTGAGCCAAAACCTGACAACAAACGACCAGCCTGGTTTGATGATGATTGTTATGAAGAACTCATTAACGAGCTCAGTTGCCTAGTGTACTTGTGGTACCGTGAGTCTATCGTCGTCAGAAATTTCGCGACCGACGTGGCATAGAGTTTGACGAACTATGTAATCGAAAAGAAGATCGAGTAATGACTCCAACCGCTTCTTTCCGCGACATCAAACCTATTACGCGTACCCACAAAGTCTCTTGTACGTACCGTACATCCAGCAATTCAATCTGGATTCCGTCCAGCCAATCGACACTCGATTCTGGCAATAAGTTCGTGGAAATCTACCGTTTGCAAAACGAGCTTTCGGTTTTCTCATTAACCGCGCAGGATCGGGTTCACTCCGATATCACAAAAAACGTGCTGTCATTAGTCGAATTCCCAATGAGAGGAAGAGAAAGAAGAGGAAGGAACAGTTTCCCTAAGTGGAGATCGTCTTTGGGCTCGCTTCATACGCAAGAATGATACCTGGGCATTTGCGCAGGATACGTCTGCGACGCTTTCACGTATTCCTGCTCGCTGGGTGGCGCAGCCTCTTCACAACTAGCTCCATCCGACCGCAGACGTTCCTATCCGCCACCACGTTTTAGACGTGGTAGTATCAATTTTCTTGTCGAGAAGAGAGGGAGGTGCCCGAAGAGGGCGTTTCCTTTGCTTCATCTGTGGCTGCTCCACAGTCTTCGACTAATTGAAATTGCGGTTGACGAGGGTGGGGGGACTTTATTCGCTGGTGAAACGGCAGATGATCTAGGTGTTCGATTGGGTGTCGATGCGGCAACGCGTGATGGATACTGAATGGTTCGTTTGCAAAGTTTGCGATCTCGCATGGCGTTCTGAAAATTTGCCTGGAAATGCGGTCGAGAATCGATTTCGTCGATCGAAGGAGATTCAGCAAGTTCTCCTTTCTGCTTCAGCTGCTGCCGCTGATAATACGGGGCCTCCTGCCAAGCGATCTCGGTCTGGTTCGGATGGATATCCTTCCAGTAGTAATCGCTAACGCAATCAGCAGAGTCTGCTTCTCGTCGACGTTCCTTCTTTTGCAACCGTTTGTTTGGTTCTGAAGTTTACAATTATCCTCGTTGATCCTGAGGCGACGACACCGAGGGGTTCAGATTTTGGCCCTCGTGTCAAAGCTGTGACTCTGAAGCTATGTTGATATGGCCCTGCGTGACATCCAGCATAATAATCGCGTCGTCGCTTGAAAAAGATTGATATGCCCTACGTAGGTCATTGAATTTGTCCTTCCAATTTGGCAGGTCGATAGTGAAAGCATCTCCATGGCATGACATTACTCGATATGGACCGATGAAGTTAGGTAAAAGCATCGAGCTTCCCAAGCGTGGGACCGCATGACCGCGTCGTCTGATACCCTTCGTACGAAGTCGTGCAAACTATTCAACAATAGAAGACGTTTTACTTTGACGACCTCGGCTATCTGCGTACTTCTTTTGGTAATCTCGTGCATTTGTCATTGCATCTCGCACACGTGTCATCACCATTCACACATTTCATAAGGAATGAGTCAACGAATGATTCAAGGAAGTACTTGTAGTTGCGCTTCGCATTCGCATCATTGATTGTTTCAATTTGCAAGTTACTAAACAAAAAAGGCGTAGATCTAGTTAATGAATGACCTGAAATTGACATAGCGATCTCTACGAACGGTAAAAAATGAACTTCATTCTGCGGAATTTCCCGAACGGAAGCTTCTCAACAAATCACTGAGTACTCGGTTGCCACGTTTTGTTTGCCCATCAGTCCGCAGGTGTACAGCTGGGGACATATCCAGCGAGAGCCAAGAATTCGTAACAATTCTTTACAAAGCCACTAGTGAATCGTGTATCGCGGTCCGAGACGATGGCGTCTGGTAACTCGTGATTGCAAAAAACATGATCAATAAACAATGTACCGAACCTTCGGCCCCGGTGGAATCGCTCTGATAAGTGATTCGAACCATCTTGCTGAGTTTGCCGACGAAGACGAGCACTCCATTGTGACCATCAGCATTCTCGAAAAAAACGAAGATAAAGTCGAGGGCGACTAACCTCCAACAGTCAATAGAAGCAAGGAGACTCTGATTGACACTTGCGTGTCGTGCGCTGCTCACGCACTGACAGACATCGGATGTCTTCATGTATCGTGCAACCCACTTGAACATACGGGACACCAAAGTTCGCCACTGAATGATTGGTAGGTCTTCTCACGGCCGATGTGACCGGCCTCGGTGTAGCATGCGCCTCGTAAACGATGTCGTGCCTCAAATCATCGTTGTGGTGAATCACCATCCGTGGATCATTGTCATGTGCAATTTCATAGTGAAAAAGACCATCCTTTAATGCATAACGATATATCCGTGACTTCATTTGATCAGAAGGTTTGTCATGGAGCTTTAGATCACTTGATGATCAGATCGAGCTATTCATCCTCAACAAACGATCGGCGTATCATATCGTATACATCGTTTTTAAAGTAGCTAGTATGGGCTGGCTCATAACCAGGACGAAGTGACAAGGCGTCAGCCAGCACGTTCAGTTTTCCCGGTTTATACGCAAACTTGAAGTTGAATTATGCGAGGAAGGACAACCAGCAAACCATTCGCTGTGATGAGGAAGGCGATCGAGCTGCATGATACACGCTTGCGTGATCCGTGTAGATGATCACCCAAGAAGTGAACACGGAACCTCACGAGAGCATATTTGATTGCCAAAAGATCCTGTCGTGACAGGGTAGATCGTTCTGATGCCTTCAGATGTCGCGATTGAGTCGACACGGCACGATCGTCTCCTTCTCAGTCCTTTTGCAATAATGCAAAACCAATTGCGAAGGCAGAAGCGTCACATGCCACGCTATATGGTTCGTATCATCTGGAAAGGAAGTAATGGTGCTTTCATTAAGCTGCTTTTATTTTGAGTTGATACATCTTCACAAGCGGATGACAACTTTCATAGTACGTCCTTCTTCAGCAAGTTTGATAGCAGGCGTACCATTTTCGCGTAGTTGCGCGAGAAGCGATGCATGTAATCAAACAAACCAATTCATTTCCTCGAACCCTTTTGATTTTGTCGCGCTGGCCACTTCACGATTGCTTCGATCTTATCAAGGCCTGCACGAACACCGTGGTCACAAACAAAACAACCGAAAACCGGTACTTCGTTAGCATCAAAAATACTCTCTGCGATTTTCGCTTGCAATAAATGCTCACGCATACATTCTAGCACCACACGGGGGTGTTTCAGGTGCAAATCTTCGGCAGATCTCTCTCAAGGGAACAAATTTTTGTTAAAGTATGCATTAACGGATGTCAGACGACGAGTAGTGTGTCTGGAGCCGTAAAGATCGCTAACCGGATGTTTGTTTACATTGCTACATCAACATGCACTTGACCTGACCTTGGGTATGTGGCCTCTTAGCTTTCCTACTTTTTGAAATCTTAAAAGATTCCGCCTGGAGGCTACCGTTTTGGGTTCAATATTAATTGCAGGCAACACAGGAACTCGGACTTAACTGTGATTATTTCTGCAATTTTGGACTACACTGATCCCGACTATTTGATGATCGAAGGTCGACTTCAGAGTAAATATTTATAACTGAACACGCCTCTTTTGTTCTCGATTTAACGTAACTGAGTGCTATGACTTTAACTCAGTAAAAGCTGAGTTTATGGAGTTAAAATATGGCTCAAGATGCAATCTTCGTATGGCAATCGGCACTAAAAACGCAGTTAGCAACTATGATGATGAAGCGATTAGGACAGAAATTTTTCAATTTATTCGCCTATCTTTAAGAGCGGCGAGTAGAGTTAAAGCTGCAATAAGTACGCTACTAAAGCGTATTTATATCACGGATCAAGCCAGTATGTCTGCGGCGACGCTATTTGTGACTCAATCACTATTTTTCTGGCTGGATTTAGAAGGAAATAGCACAGACTAGCCAAAAAGGGATAGAAATACGTAGTTACTTCCTCACGACATATCAATTTTTTGTTGACGTATTGTTAGATTCTTTTATCGTCTGCTTGATTGTATATAGCATGTGAGATCTCTATCATAATTTTGCAAGCCACAAAACTTAACCTGTAAATTTGGCATTTTCCTAATGATGCCAAGAGCGTACACTATGCCAAAGAAAGGTTTTTGCGCATTTGATTTCTTTTTAAGCGCGAAACACGTCTGCACACTAAACTTGGTAGGTTCCTCTTTGAGCGCAAAGTCGAGCGCGGTACCTATCCATCGGGATTTCTTGAGGAGCGAGCTCCGAGAGCTTTCCGCTGGTCAAGAATAGCTTGTGTAGTGGCCTGGGACCTGACTACGTAGACGCATAACGATCGAGTGATCTCGAAGTTTGCTTGAGTAGCGGATCCCGTCAAGCGGAAGCCGTTCTTCACACGAGGGACAAGGACTGGACGTTGATACGAGAGCATGGAGCCGCCTTGTGGGCAGTCTTCAATCGCTGCTTTTGTGCCTCGTCAAGGCGATTGGTAATGGTACCACTTCTCCCGGAAGTTGAGGGGTGGGAAAAAGGACACGGTGTTCGATAAGGGCTCACGTCGCGCCGTTGGCGCACCTCGCTATCCTCTTCTTCCCATCCTGGGAAAAGAGTATCCGACTCGTAATCTCCTTTCTCCAACTCCTCGACGAGAAAATCAGTCGCCCATGGCGGGCGCGGTGTGCGGCGCCTGGTTGCAGAGAGCTTGGGG